TTCGGGAGGGGGCCTTGTCTGGGGTCCCCAGCCACATATATATATATATATATGTGTGTGTGTATGTAAGTATATATATATATATAAAGATCAACGTGTGTATATATGTACACATATGCATGTACATACACATACAGAATTATATAGATATTTGGATATATATATATATATATACATATATATACATATGTAGATAGATCGATAGATAGATAGATAGATAGATAGATATATAGATATATAGATAGATAGATATATGTATATATATAGACGTGTGTATATATATATATATATATACACAGGAATGTGTCGGGATACAGGGTCGGGAGCCGACTCCAGGCTACCCCAGGTCGCCATGACGGTTGGGGCTCCCCGGACGCCCTCGGCAGCGGCCCGAGAGACGCCCATATTGTTTTGAATGGTGCCGCAGAGACCAGAAGGCTTCATGAGGTCTTGCGGGACTTCCAGGCAGCTCCAGATAGCTTTGAGACGTTTGCCCAAAAGGATTCGACGGGCGCTCCCCAGAGGGCCCCAAGACGCGAAAACCAATGATTTGTTGTAAGCTTTTTAAAGGTTGATTGTAGAACTTCTACATTTTTCCGTCTTCCGACGCTTCACGACGTCGCCAGAGCCCCCCAAGACCGCCCCGAGACGGCCCAAGAGGCCCGCAAGACGGCCCCAAGACAGCCCGAGAGAGCCCCAAGACGGCCTAGAAGCGCCCAAGACGGCCCCAAGAGGGGCCCAAGAGCAGGAGCCCGAACCAACGGGTCAAGCCTTTCGTCCCAAGATGTCCCCAGACGGCCCAAGAGAACTCGACGAGCGTTCCCCAGAGGGCCCCAAGACGCAAAAAGCAATTATCTTCTTCACGTGTTGGATATGTTTGGGGACGTCTCATGCTTTTTTGGGCGTCCGACGCTCCGCGACGTTCCAAGAGGTCCCCAAGACCGCCCCAAGACGGCCCAAGGGCCCCCCAAGACGGCCCCAGATGGCCCCAAGACGGGTCCAGATGGCTGCCACCAGTTGGCATGGCCGCCCCTGGCCTCCTCATGAGGACCCTGAGAGAGCTCCCAGGCGGCTGAAGATACCCCCGATTGGCCCAAGACCGCCCTGCGGGGCTCCGGCAGGTCGGAGTCAGCCCCACAGTGCTTCAGCATGCCCCCAGAAGCACCCGCGAGCCTCCTCCGGAAAGGTTCCGAGGGGACTTCCAAGGGGGGGTCCAAGGGTAAAAGTCATGGATTTGCCGTTTGTTTTTCAATGATTTTTGTTGCCTTGTTCTGGCTCCCCACCGCCCAAGATAGCACAAGATGCGCCCCAGAGGGCCCCGAGGCGGCCCAGAAAGGCTCAAGATGGCGCAGGGGGAGCTCTAAGAGGGCCCACGACGCCTCCACGAGAGCCCACAGGTCAGCGCCACAGACGCCGACACCGCCAGCCGACCCCCAAGAGGCCGCCGAGAGGCCGACAGGCGCCCTGAGACAGCCCAACATTGTCTCGAGGTGGATCCAGAAGCCCCCACGACGCTCCAGGAAGGCCCCGAGAGAACTCCCAAGAGGGCGCCTTGAGTGAAAAGCATGCCGTTTGGTGCGGTTTCAGCCTTCTGGTTGTACCAAGCTTTGGGCCGCTGAGGTGGGCACACGAGCCTTCAAAACCGCCCCGAGTCGGCCCAGGAGACGTCGCAAGAGGGCCCACGACGCCTCCAAAAGAGCCCGAAGAAGGGCCCCATATTCGCCGGCACTGCCAGCCAACCCCCAAGGGGTATCTGAAAGCCCCCTGGTGCCCTGCGGACTTCGAAACGCTTTGGGGCGGCCCAACGTTGCTTGAAGATGGCTCCAGTAGCCCCCATGACGCTTCGAGAAGGCCCCGAGGGGACCCCCAAGAAGACGCCAAGAAGAAAAAACAAAGCTTTGTTGCTACGATTGCTCAATGATTCTTGGGCTTACGCCGCACCGCCGCCCCCTTGGGAGGCTCCTGGTAGGTCTCTCGGGGGCCTCCTGGCAGCACATTTTTGATGCCTTTTGGGGGCCGTTTGGGGGCCTCTTAGGGCCTCTTTTGGGCCTCTGGTAGGCCTTTTGGAGCCTCTTGGGGGCCTCTTGGGGCCTCGAGGCTTCTTGGGGCCGAGGGCTCGAAATTTCCGTTCGGGTCCCCCTGGAGCCGTCTTGGGGGCCTCTTGGGCCGTCTTGGGGCCCTCTTGGGCCGTCTTGGAGCCTTCTTGGAGGCTTCCTGGGTCGTCTTGAGGCGATCTTGGAGGCCTCTTGGGCCGTCTTGGACGTTGTCAACAAAGGAAATGGGACGATTTTTGCTTCTGGGGGCCCTCTTGGGACGCCTCTTGGGGGCCTCTTGGGGCATCTCGGGGGCCTCTTGGGCCGTCTGGGGGCCGTCTTGGGCGTGTTGGAACGATCCATCGGCGACTCGGGGCCCTCTTGGACCATCTTGTGGGCCTCTTGGGGCCATCATGTCCCGTCGCGAGGCCCGTGACGCGTTCAGCCGGGGCTGGCCAGACCCCCCCCCCAAAACGACCGGACCGGGCCCCGGGGGGAGGGGTTTGGAGAGGGGGGCTCCGGGAAGCTGCCGAGAGCCTAGAGTGCGCCCAGAGTGTCTCCAGGAGCATCCGAGCGATGTTTCCAGAAGCCTCTCCAGGAGCATCTGAGCGGGTGTTCCGAACCACAGCAGGGACAAGAAAAGGAGGAGAGGTGTCGAGGACGACGAGGAGGACGACGACGACCACCACTGTTCCCAGAGGTCTCAGGGTGCCTCCCGAGTTCTGGCGCGGAAGGCCACGGAAGGACCAATCATGTCCAAACGCGCACAAACACGTGCAGAGTCGACGACGATGACGACGACGCAAGCCGTGGCTGCAGCGGCCGCGGCGGCCAGCCCGCACGCTGGACGTGCGCTGGCGGGAGACCAAGGTCTTAGGCAACCGCGGCGACGAAAGTGACCCCGTGTGGCCCAAGAATGCCCAAGATATGCTACAAGCCTCGATTCTCGACCCTCGATCCTGCATTTCCAAACTCAATCGTAGACGACTACGGTGACGTTGACGGCGACAACGACGACCACGACCACAACCGCGACGACCACGGCGACGACGACAGTGACGAGGAGACCCAGCGGCCTCCAGAGATCTGACGACGACCACAACGACGACGAGTGTGGAGGCCTCCGGAGCCCCCAGAAAAGCACAACGCGCCCCAGAATGTGCAATCGTCCGATCACGTCCACAGACGACGACCACCACCACCGCCACCGCGACCATGACGACGACCGCCACGACGATCATCACGACGGCGGCGGCGGCGGCGGCGGCGGCCGCGGTGGCGGCGTCGGCGGCCTGGTGGCCCTGAGACTCTGGGGCCCCGATCGGCCACCGTGGCAGTCGCGTCACTTGCGCAGTCTGGGAAACGCTCGGAGCGTCGCGCGACGATCTCGCACGGCTCCGCGACGGCCCACCGAACCCGAAGCTATTCCCCAGAAGGCCCTGCAACTCCCCGCGCCAAGGGCGGCGCGTGCGTGAGGAACATCTCTTTGGGTATTTGGGCGTTTGTGGGTTCGCGCGAAGTCTACTGACAACGACTACGCAGTCGACGAGAACCTAAGCGCGAGCGTGCTTCTATTCTCTCTCTCTCTCTCTTTCTCTGTCTCTCTCTCTCTCTCACACACTCTCTCTCTCTTTCTCTCTCTCTCTCTCTCTTCCTATATATAAATGTGTATATATATGTATATATATATACATATACGTATACATACATGCATCCACATATACATATCTTTTCTCAAGCTGGTGAGGTGGGGCCCGCCACCCAAAACGGATTTCCCCAGATCCGTGGCCCCGGGGCCCCCTGGCAGGAGGCCCCTGCGGCTTTCCGGAGCTATTGGAAGCCCCTGCTGGGCCTAGGCACCGGGCCTAAGTCGGTCAGGAGGGCCGCCGAACAGCCACCTGAGGGCCCCAAGAGGTCCCAGACATCCACCAGATGTCCAAAGACGACCCCAAAAAGACATCCAAGTGGCTTTCGAAACGCTGCAGAACATCGTTTATTGTTAATCGTGAATGCTCAGTTCTTCGGTTGTCTGGGCGTCCGGGACCTCCTGGGAGGCCTGAAATTCGCCCACAAATGTTCCGAACGGGCTTCCAGGCAGCCCGAGGGAACCCCAACACGGCATCAGACCCCCACGATGGTCCAAGATGGCCCCCAAACGCTTCCTGGAGAATAAATCGTGACCCAGTCGTTCAGGGAAACCGCGGTTGGAAGCAGGGTGTTTCGAGGAAGCCCCCAGAGGCGCCCAGAAGATGCCCAGGAGGCTTCCAGAAGGCACCCAGAAGGCCCCAAACATTTTCGTGAGGTCCCAGGTCCCAGGAGGCTTTCCAAGGAGGAGCTTCCGCCAAAGAGCTGAGGAGGACGGGGAAGACTTCGCAGGATAGGGCGGGAATGAGGAGAAGGAGGAGGAGGAGACATGAGGGAAGGATGGTGAATCACCTTGTTATAACGGCGATGTTGGAAGTTTTCTGTTCTACCTTCCTGCCCTTCCGCCTGCATGCCAAACTGCAAGGGCCAAGGTGCATGGCGCGAACCGCTAATGCAGTCTTGTAAATGTCTGTGCACTTACACGTAGATATAGATGTTTGCATGTGCGTGTGTGTGTGTGTGTGTGTGTGTGTGTGCTTGTGAGTGAGTGTGTGTGTGTGCGTGTGTGTGCAAGTGTATCTGCAGATGTCGTGGCCCCTCTTCTCGTCTCAACGTGTCCCCTGGCCCCTCTTGGACGCCCCCTCCTGGACGCCCTCGATCCTCCCTCTCTCGGGTGTTGCCAGATGCTGCCCTGGCTCAGAGGTGTCCCGGGGGTCTCGCTGTTGGAGCCCTTGCATGGGGCCTCCTGGGCCCTGACAAGGGCGCTCCGCAGGCCCTCGGGGCCTCCCTGCAAAGCCTGGGGTCCCCTTCGGCTGGGGCCACGTCTGGCGACCCCCGAGTCTCGCCTCCCCCTCTTCCGGCTTCCTTCCTCCTCCCTCGAAGGAGCCCGACATGTCACCAGCGGAGCGAGCCGGGCTGGAGCAGGCCCTAGCTGCGCGGCAGAGGCAGCAGGAGGAGGAGCGCAGGAAGCTGGACGAGGACCGCAGGGCCTACGAGGACAAGGAGAGGCAGCGGAAGGCCAGGCTCGGGTCCGCTTTCCTCATGGCTGACGAGGACCAGCGGCTCAACATACAGTCGTTTGCCGTCGCCGTCCTCGTCCCTCGTCCCTTGTCCCTCGCCGATCCAAGAAATCTGCGCGGGCCTCCAAAAGTTTCTTAAACAGCTTGTCTGTAAGGGTCCAACATGTTTCCCTGAAAGAGTTTGTCTGTGACGGCTCTGTATACTGCTTCCCTGAAGCTAGTAGGTGCCCTATCCCTCTGGATATATGCATACCCTTTTATCCCTATCCTGTATCCCTATCCCTACACCCCGAGCCCCATATCCTAATCCTATACCTCTATCCCAATCCTTCCATCGTGGCACCCAACGTGGATCCAATGGTACATGTGACAAGCTCCTCGGGGTCTTCTGCCGCAAGGGTGGCAGTATTCTAAGGCCGGGTATGAGTCTTTCCGCATCCAGAATCGGTGGCCTGTGATCTCTGTGTTATCTTCCACGTGGTTTCTGGTGTGATCTCACGCATGGTCCCACGTATAGTCTCCCGTGCAGTTTTCCGCATGGTTTTTCGTATGGTCTCCCGTATGTGCAGTACACTGTAATTCGGCCGCTCAGGGTCTTCTGCCGCTGGGGTGTAATCTGTATGTGTGTGCAGCGCTTTCCTCTTCTATCGCCACGTCCTGAGTCTCAAGCCCGCCGGCCGAGAGGAGGAGGAGGACGACCCGAACGCACTGGCGGCGACCCTGAAGAGCCGGCGGAAGGCCGAGGACTCCCTGCAAGACCTGCAGTCGGTGCAGGCGGCGCCGAGCAGGACCCCGCAGCCGCTGTCGCAGCCGCTCGGGCACACGGCCGCAGGCGGCGCGGGGCAGGACCCGCGGTTCGTGGAGGCGATGGGCGCTGGCCTCAGCCGACGGGGGGGGCTCGGCATTGCTCGGACGTGTGCCTTTTGTTCCGCGCGAGATCCACTGAGGCGATGGACGTCCGAGCGATGGCAAGGGAGGGGGGGCAGGGCTCATCTCGACCTCTCCGATTCGATTCGGTTTCGACGGTTTCCGATTCCGATTCGATTCGATTTCGGATTCCGATTTCGGATCCGATTTCTCAATAGAAGCCTGATGAGTCCTACTAGCCTGCCGATGTCTGCCGATTCGACATTTCCCGATTCGGCTACCGATTTCCGCCGATCCGATTCATGTTGATCGCCGGTTCGACTTCTCGATTCGATCTGGGTTCTCCTGGGGGGGTCGCGTCCGCCGGTCCCGGCTCGGCGGCCGAGCGGCGGGGGCGCGGGCGATCCCGTCGGCTCCGGGAAGTTCTCGTTGGCGGCTCGGGGCATGTGATCGGCAGGGTCGTCCAGAGCTCAGAGCACCAGCTTGCAAATCTCGAGAGCGGCAAGGTCGGTTCACTAGCCGAGCCGTAGTATTCGAAACCAGTTCCGCATTGGCGCATTTGGGCCTCTTGGTGACCTCTTGAGGCTGCATGTTATCATCTGGAGGCTATCTCGAAGCCTTTTTGGAGGCCATCGTGGAGCCTGCCACCCATGGATCCCGACTCGAATGATCTCTCTGATCTCCCTTGGGGTCCCTCGGGGCCCTCGTGGGGTGCTCTTGGGTGCCCTGAAGACCGCCCGCTGGAATTCTGGCATCCGTGACACCCACAGCCCAGGAGTTGCCCAGGACTTGCTGGGGTAACCGCAGACCTCTAATGATAAACCATTCCCCCTGAGTGTTCATTGTCTCTGGCCGGGACAGAGTTGGCCGGGGGAGAGGGGCGGCGAGGCCGAACGCCACTATCGCGGGGGAAAATATGAGTCGAAATTGCTGTCTTCTTATGCTGAGCAGCAACAGTATCACGAATGTGTGGCAAGTCTATGGGATTCTCACCTTTTCAGCTTTCCCAAGTCACGAACGTGCGGCAGTGCTGTAGGGCTCTCACCATGTCAGCTTTCCCAAGTCACGAACGTGTGGCATGACTATGAGGTTATCACCATCTCAGCCTTCCCAAGGCACGAAAGCGTGCCGGAGCCATTGGATTCTCACCATTCCAGCACTCCCAGGCCACGAACGTGTGACAAGGGCCATCGGAGTCTCACCGCTCGAGCCCTTCCCGGTCACGAACGTGTGACAGGGCCATAGGGTCCTTCTTTTTTTCATGGAGTTTCACCATTTCAGCCATGGGATTTTCGATACTCCGTAAATTCGTACACTCCGTACACCGTGCATCCGTACACGGTACATCCGTACATGCGAGATGCCGAGAAAGATGTTTATTATGCCCCAGGAGCCCCGATTTTCCTTATCCCCAGGCGTTTGTTTTGGGGGCACAGGGTAATTGTTTGCCTGGGAACCCCCAGCGGCGGCCCCGCGTGCGCGAAGTTGAAATATTCTAAAGGTGTTACTGGAGATCTTAGCACGTTTCTGGCCCGTTGGGGCGGCAATTTGTTTCGATTGGTGGGATGATGATGATGATGATGATGATGATGATGATGATGATGATGATGATGATGATGATGATGATGATGATGATGATGATGATGATGATGATGATGGCCGGCCATCTGCCGGCCAGGTAGCCGAGTAGGAGTGTATTTAAAGCAATGAGGGAGGAGGATCGGAGGATGGAGGAGGAGGAGAAGGAGGAGGAGGAGGAGAAGAAGGAGGAGAAGGAGAAGGAGGAGAAGGATGGAAAGGAGGAGTGGGGATAGGAAGGGAGAGAGAGAGAGAGAGGGAAAGTAAAAGAAGAGGAGGGAGGAGCAAGAGGTGGAGCCAGGAAAAGGAGGGAGGGAAGGGGTCCAGTAACAGGGAGGAGCAGGATGGCCATGTCGCTGTGGCGCCAGAGGTCTCGGCCTGCCCGGGGCCGCGGGTCCGCCCGGTTCGGCTCGGTGTTCTCGGGGGCTCGCCCCGCGCTTCCCGCGCTGAGGTGGCGACAGGCTCCTCCAGGAGGCGCCGGTTGGGGGGCGGAGGAGGCAGGAAGCGGGAGGGGATCGCAGGTTTCCGAGATGCTTGCTGTTTTGTCGTGTTCGAGCTTCTGGGAGGCTTCTCGTCGCCGCGGCTGCATCCGCTTCGAAGCGTTGGTTCAGAGCGCACCCCAGGGGAGGTCCGAGGGCCGACTTCTGAGGGGAGGAGGAAAACGAGGACAAGGAGGAGGAGGAGGGGGGAGGATGAGGAGGAGGTGGACCAGAGTAAACCCAGGATGTATCGACGATGCTGCAGTGTACCCTCCCGTTCCCCATCCCGTCCTGACGGGTCCCTACAAGTAGCGTTTTTCGTCATTGCGGCAGGAGCCCTCCTTAAATGGCGAGCGTCCGGTAGGCCTGCCCCTCAGGCGGACTCCAGTTCTGTGAATGATCCATTCTCCAGTCTCCATCCTTTCAGCTGGAAGGAGACCAAAACATACGATGATAAAGTTCACGATGTGTTCGTCGATAGGCCCGTTGAACAAAATGACTGGACTTCCGTCCGTGTAAGTGTGGCACGAAGTCAATGCTCTGGTCTTTAAGGTTTGCGGAAGGCTCAAGTCTTCCGTGCGTGTGTTGCACAGATGTAACGGGCCTCATAGTTTGAGGGATACCCGCCTTTGGAAAACAACCCTGGCTCTATATCGTAGTTGCTGGAAGCTTCTGACACGAGTGTGCGCGGCGCTAGAGCGAGAGACACATTTTAACCACGGCCAGGCCTCCATCTGTGCAGTTTTCTTATCAGTGCTTGCACTGGGCTCTCAGCCGATACGGTCGTGGCGCTTAAGAATCCTTTTTGTCAGGGATGGGCTCTGTGTTCCTTAGTTGTGTTACAGCTTGCCTTTGGTTTCCCTGAGGCTTTCGATGGTACATCGAAGCTAAATTATGGAAAACAGGGGCCTCGTTCTTTATCTTTGGGTTCCTTCGGTTAACGCCCCGACGGTACTGGAAGAGAAGGTAGAGGTAATTAGCCCGCCAATTTCGGCAGCTAGATGTAATTCGCCCGTCAATTTCGGTGGGCACCTGGGCTCCCAGGTTCCCTGTCACGGGTTCCTGAGTTCCTGCTGCTGGGTTCCAAGCCGATTTCGGTGGGCGCGGTTGGGCTTTCCCAGGGTCCTCTTCGGGTCCAGCGCTCCCGGCACGGTGAGTTACCAGGTTCTCGAGTTCTTTGATGTGGCCAGATGCCCAGGCTTTTGCGACCACGGACAGAATAATAGTGGATCGTAGAGAATGAGGAGTACACGTCAACCAGTCGGGAGCATAGGCGATCAGAGAGAGGGGGAGAGAAAGAGAGAGAGAGAGAGAGCGAGAGACTTATTGGGGTTTCCTGGGGCTTCCTGGCACCTCCTCGAGCACCAGGCGAGCTTAGCTCTCTGGAGCCCGTCCTGTGCCCTCCTCCGAATTTGGGGAGGCTCCTGGGGATCCCTAGAGGATTCCCAGGGACGGGCAATTTTCCCTAAGCTGCAGAAGGCTTCTGGGGGTGACCAAAGAAGTATTCAACACAGTCGGATCCATGGAATGTCATCCTGGACTCCCCCCCAGACCAAAAAGTTCCGATGAGGGAGTCATCGTTTTTGTGATATCCATTGTGGGATGACGGATTTGCCCGCCGTCCGCTCCTCTAGAAGGCGGGCAAGCGAACTCTCGCCCGTTGGCATGGCTCAGATGGCACTCCGCTGAACGCTCCGACCATCAATCGCTCGCTGCCTGACAGTAGTCGGAAGCGGTGCTCGCTCAGTATAGATACTTGGCCGCACCCCTGTCGTCATACCGTTTCGCCTCCTCATCCTCGACTGTTGCTTTTCCTTTGTCTCTCTCTCTCTCTCACTCTCTCTCTCTCTCTCTCTTTCTTTCTTTATTTCTTTATGTCTTTCTCTCTCTCTCTCTCTCTCTCTCTCTCTCTCCAAACTATAGTTTTCCAGATATTCCAGATCTTCCCAGGAGACTACCCAGGTGAACAACCGTCGGTTTCCAGATTTTCCAAATATTCCAGATATTCCCAGAGACTACCCAGGTGAAAAACATTATGTCCTCCAGATTTTCCAGGTTTAAAATCCGATGTAGTGCAGATTTTTCAAATATTCCAGACCTTCCCAGAGACTACCCAGGTGACAAAAGCCATGTGTGTTTCCAGAGTTTCCAGATAGTCCAGATCTTCCGAAACTACCCAAGTGAACAACCATGTGTTTTCCATCTCTCGCAGATATTCCAGATATGCACATCGATTACTTAGGTGAGAAACCATGTGTTTTCCAGGTTTTCCAGATATTCCACATCTTCCCAGAGACTACCCAGGTACAAAAAACACATGTGTTTCCAGATGTTCCAGTCCCAGATTCGCAGAGACTACCCAGGTGAAAAAAACTTGTTTTTTTCCGGACATTCCAGATATACCAGATCTTCCAGGAAGTGCGTTGCAAGTTCAGGGTAGTCTCTGGGAATATTTGGAATATTTGGGAAGTCGGGAAAACACGTGGTTTTTCACCTGGGTAGTATATGGACAGATTTGGAATACGTGGGATATCAGGAATACCAGCGTTTTTCATGTGGTTAATCTTTGGAAATATTTGACAGATCTGGGAAATCTGGAAGCACATAGTTTTTCACCTGGATAGTCTCCTGGGAAGATCTTGAAACCACAGCGTTTATCACCTGGGCAGTCTCTGGGAATATTTGGGATACTTGGAAAATTTGGAAAACAAGATGCTTTCCAATTCAACTCCTTTGTGGTGCTCTCCAAAGGGATCCTGTCGTGCGGCTTTCCAGTCTAATCCCTCTGTGGTGCTTTCCAAAAGGATTCCGATTTTGAGGCTTTCCACTGGAATCCGTCTGCGGTGCTTTCCAAAGGATTCCGATTGTGAGGCTTTCCCATCGAATCCCACTGCAGTGTTTTCCAAAGGAATCCGGTTGAGAGGTTTTCCCATGGAACTCATTTGTA